TCCCCACAAAACCTCAAGACAGGCTCAGATCTTTCTTACCTAAGAGTAACCACATGGAACCGGGCAGAGCTTAATGAAGGAAGAGACTTTTTGCGAAGGCGTGGTGGGACTCAGGTCAACCGGCAAGAGATGATGATAAAGCAGCCAGGGCTAGCAGTGCCTGAGCATGATGGGGAAAGGCGGCTCCCAGCACAGGAGAGGGCCGCCCCCTAGAAACGATGGATGGCCTTCAGGAGGGGGTGCAGCCAGCTGACTGGCCGGGACTCTTCCAGAGGCAACATGGGAGGACACACCACGGCCTCCCTCACCCCTACCTCTAATCCCTTGCCGGCATCTCTACGTCAAACCCACTGGGAAGTCCCAGGTCAGGGGAGCCTGGTTGCACTTTTAGGCCAGCCTCTCACTGCACAGGTGCGGGTGAAGGAGGGGAGAATGGATTTAGAGGGACAGACGGAGACTACGTATGTGGCACAGAACTCATCTCATCTCATTTAATCCTGGCGACCCAGAGGAGTAAGCACTAGGGCCGTCCCGTTAGACACATCAAAGCCACAGAGGTCAAGCGACATTGGCAGGGTGTGGGTTTGAACAGACCCCGACCCGGGCTCGCACCTGGACCTCTCCGCCTCTCTGCCACCGTCTGGCACACGGGCAGGCAAGGAGATGGCAGCACAGGCTTCCTCCAGTGAGCTGCTCGCACGATCAGGAGAGAGTCAGGATAGCTGTGTGCTGGGAAGTCTTTGTTCTTTATTTACAAGACTCCACATTGCCTTCCTTTCCCCCCAGTTCTTCTTCTTCTCCCCAAAGACTCACTGGACAGGGCAAGATTCAGCCCCAAACTCACACCCCCTGCCTGGGAGGAGGGCTGTATTTTGATAGGTCAGATGAAAACAACTTCGATACCACAAATTCAAATTGCATGGGTCCGGTGAGAAAGAAAAAAAATTGAGGAAAATTGGGCATTTTATAATTCATTCTTTTGCACAGTGATTAATTTTTTTTTTTTTTTTTTTTTTAAGCTGTGTTTGTGGCATCTGGGTGGCTCAGTCGGTTAAGCATCCGACTGGCTCAGGTCATGATGTCACATTTCATGAGTTCAGGCCTCGCATCAGACTCTGTGCTGACAGCTTGGAGCCTGGAGCCTGCTTCAGATTCTGTGTCTCCTCTCTCTGCCCCTCCCTTGCTCACGCTCTGTCTCTCAAAAATAAATAAATGTTTAAAAAAATTAAAAATAAAAGCTATGTTTAATACAGGACACAGACTTCCTAGAGAAGAAAATCTGTGTCCTGACTTTCTTCTTAAAAACTTAAAAACTTAAAGTTCTAAACTGGCTCATCTCTTAAAGCTTTACCATCGCCATAGGGGGGTTGTCCAGGATTTAGGATTTTTGTGATATTGATACATACCAAAATAGTTTAATCTTGTACAGATATTACTGAATATGGCTACTCTCTCCCGAGATGAGATGCCATTTCTCTGGCTATTTGCCTGCTGCCTTGGGTTACCTAAATTGTTTATATTGATCTGTTTCTTACTTGTGATGGTTCACATCCCATCATTACAGTGCCCGAGCTTCATTCAGGGCGATGTCAACAGCATACATCCTCCAAGTTAAAAGCCATTCCCAATCTCCACCTACTCCCTTTTGAGGAGACAACATCAAGTTCATGTGCCCATGTGTGAGCCCGCCCACATGGCACCTCCACTAAAAAATGTGATGTGGGCCAATTAAGTCCTTACTCTCAGGGAGAGAGGTCACTGCCAGAGTGACCAGGGCTGTGCTGGGGGGGGGGGAACACCCAGGGAGCGCTGGGGTCACAGGGAATCTGAGAAGGCTTCCTGGAGGAAGTAACATCTAAGCTGAGGCCTGAGAAGTCAGGTAGAGATGTGACAGGAGAGAGAAGGCATGTGGGTGTTTTAGGCAGAGAGAATAGCACAGGCTCAGAGAGCAAGGCCAGTGCGGCCCATCCAGGGAAAGTGTGGCGGTGGGGGGTTGATGGTGAGGGGAGGTCAGGAGGTGGGGAAGGCCAGATCCCAAGGAGCCCCACAAACCACACTAAGGAATTCGAATTTTCTCCTGAGCCCCATGAGAGCCATTTAAGTACTTTAAGCAAGGAAGCAACATGGGTAGATTTTTTTTTTAAATCCCTTTTTCTGGGTAGTCTAGGTAGTGTCCAGGCCACTTCTCTGTTTGCATCAGGTGGTAGAGAGAAAAGGGATGCAGGGAAGGAAGAGACTTCTGTCACCGAGGCAGGAGAAAAATAACACTTTCCTTCTTATTTAAGAAGCAACCTGCTGATTTATCTTTTTTTTTTTTTTTTGGTTTGTTTCGTGTATTGTTTACACGAGTTAATACAACGAGAAACAGTGTGGGGAAGCCCACAGCCTGAGCTGGCTTTGTTGAAGACCGAGCTGTGTTGAGAAGATCACGCTGCCCCTGGACGTGACCCTCAGGTGCACGAGGGCAGAGCTTGAGCCAACAGGGAGGAGGGCAGGGAGAGAACCATCACACGCAGAGCGAGCCGCCGTCCTCCCAAGGCTGGGTCCCCGCGCTCAGTGTATTCCGCGGGCGGCTCCTCTGCCCCAGACCTCAGGAGCATCCATTATTTGTGCTCTCGGCTCCCTTCTGGCAGCAGCGCGCCCTTGTTCCCATCGTCCTGGCGCGGCTGCTGGCTTCCTCCACCCCGTCCCCCATCCAGCCTGTGCCTGCTCTGCCCGGCTCAGGTGGCCGGGTTCCCTGGCAGGCTGGCTTCTGCTTAGGCGAGGCAGGAGATGGGGGGCAAGAGGAGAGGGACACTGGGGTGTTTGTTCCCGTGCCCCCCTCCCTCTATTGCTAGTCCCTGAGTGCTGGAATGTTCTTTGGTGGTTCCCCTAAGCCTGTCCACATGGCCGTGAATGGCCCCTTCAGTAGAGTCCCTGGAGGTGAACCGTATGGGGGAGAAAGTGATTCTGGAGAAGCTCAGAGATCAGCAAGGCTGTGGCGACGATCGTGACAGGGCAGAAGATGGCCTCGCTCTGTTGTGAAGCACGGGGAGATGGAGCGGACCCTGCAGCGGGCTGCCCTCACCTGCTGGATGTGGTGATGCCATGCGGAGCTGCAGGCCAGCCCCCTGCTCCTCCTCCCTGGTGGGCCGTGCTGGTGAAGGCCTGAGGACAGCTGTGGCCCCTTGGGCAGCATTTTGGACTGGTCACTGTCAGGCTAGAGCAGAGGTGGTGGGGGCAGGTGTGACACTGGGTGGAGGGAGGGGGACAGAGGGAGGAGTGGAGGGGTGAGGAGGCTGTCGTAGCCTGGGTGGGTGGCACTGGGGGCTCCACCCACAGACACGGCAGCGGTGAAGGGGGTGCATCTGGGACATCAGGAGTTGACTCGAAGGCCCCATGCTCAGGGTCGGGTGAGTGTGGGGGCGAGGGAGACGAGGATGGTCTGCACTCTGGCTTGTGTTCCTGGGTAGATGGTTCCAGAAGTGGCCACACCAGATGGTGAGCCGCTCTCCGTTGTGAACACGTCGATGTGCAGGGCTGGCTGCGTTTCACGGCAATGGGCTCATGCAGCACGTGGTCCTTTGTGACAGGCTTCTCTCACTTAGCATGGCATTTTCGGGTTTCATCCATGTTGAAGCACAGGTCAGTACCTTATTGTGGCCAAATAATATTCCGTTGTATGGAGGTACCATCTTTTATTTATCCATTGATCAGTTGATGGATATTTGGGTTGTTTCTGCTATCTGACTATGATGAGTGATGCCCTCTGAACACCATGTACACAGCTGGTGTTTCTCTTGGGCGTGCACCTAGCAGTAAATCACCAGTCACTCAGGGTTGGCATTTTGAGGTTAGACTATGTTTCACATTTTGAGGATCACATTTTTAGTTGTAAAGTCTCTTTTGTTTGATAATAGTAGAGTGACTTCAGCTTTCTTATACTTATCCCTTGCCTTTTATAAAAGATGATTTTTTTTAAATCACAAATATGTGCAGCCATAAATAATATTTTATTTAGCGATGCACGTTTTGAGATTTTAAAGAATGGTGTTACACAGTGAATGTTGTCTTCTTGGATTTGTTCTTTCACTCAACATGCTATTTTTTTTTTTTTGAAAAGTTTAGTTATTTGAGAGAGACAGAGACAGCGTGAGTGGGGCAGGGTCAGACAGAGAGGAGGCAGAGACAATCCCAGCGCAGAGCCTGATGTAGGGCTTGAACTCCCAAAACTGCGAGATGATAACCTGAGCCAAAGCCAAGAGTCGGACACTTAATGGACTGAGCCCCCCAGGTGCCCCTTACGCTATTTCTAAGACTCACTAAGTCAGATATAGCTGTAGTTACTTCATGTTCCCTGCTGTATAGTATTCCATGGGGTGACCTCACCACAATTTATGTATCCACCCTCCTCTCAGTGTAATTCTGCACAGTGGTAGTGTTTTGTTACAAGTTTATTGCTGCTGTGAGCATTGTTACACGGCTCCTGATACACATTTCTTCTGCTCCCAAAGTGACCAGCATCGTCAGCATTGGCTGGAAACTTGCCCAAAATGTAATAAATTCTGGAGCCCAACCCCAGACTCGTTGAATCACAAACTCTGGGGGTAGCACCTGGCAATCTGTATTTTAGCAAGGCCTCCAGGTGGTTCTGATGCCTGACAGCGTTTGAGGACCGCTGCTTAGGGGCGTAATTGAGGAGAAGGGTTTCTGGGTTGCCTTCTACTCATTGTTTTTCCAAGTGCTATTTCCATGTCACACTCCATTAGCAGTGTGTGTGAGTTCCCATAGACACACACCCTTTCAGCCCTTAGGGTCATCAGATTTCCTTATTTGCCCATCGCTGGGCCTGTCCCACTGCGTTTCCCTGCAGAGAGGTGTGGGGTGGCGGTTGCCCTCCCGTCCGGCCCCCAGCCTCCCCTAGCCTGGCCTTGCCGTGTCCTAGGAGCACAGCCAGGCGTGCTCCACAGCGCTCAGCTGTGGCTGAACAGCCTCTCTGCTGTGTGGGCTTGTTTGGACAGGAGTACATGCATCATCTGCTCGGCCTTGAGCATCGCGCCGAGGAGCAGTTCCTGGAGCACTGGCTGAACCCGCACTGCAAGCCCCACTGCGACAGGAACGTGGTCCATCCGGTGTGAGGGGCCCGGGACCAGCTTCCGGTACGTCCCTTCCCCCACCCTGGCCTCTGGTGTATGGGGAGGGTGGGGGAATGGGGGAGTGGTGGGGGATTGCAGGGGGGGCCCGCTGGAGGATGGCGGGGGCGACGGGGGGGGAGGGCGTGGGGAGCGGCACACGCATGGCTCAGGGGTTTCGAGGCTGGTTAGCTGGCTGTGGGCTGGGCACTGGCAAGAGCCAGGCAGGGGTGAGAGACGGCAGCCAGGTAGAGAAGGGCTCTGGGGACACGCCAGGGAGCCTGATCCCGACTGACTCACCAAGAGATCCCAAACAGGGGGGAATGGGACCCTATTTGCCGTCCACATAGGTCACACTGGAATGCAAATCTGGAGAAGTATGGCTTGTGGAGACTCGGGTCTTTGCAGGTGGGGTCAAGAACCATGGGCTTGACTAGTGACCTAGTGACATCCGTTATGACCATCACCACCATCACCAGGACCAACAACCTCTTTCCTGCCCTCCCCTAGCCTTCCGGCCTGGGGGTCTGCCCGGCGGTCCATTCCATCCCCCTCTTGCCCTGGGCTTACTCTTTCAGGCCACAGGGCACCTCTGCTCCCACACCAGGATGTGGTGGAGGATCTGCTTCCCTCCCAGTCTCTCTCCTCCTTCCCCAATCCTGTTAGATAAAGTAGCGAACCCCTTCAGAGAGTGAGCCTAGCGGCTGTAATTTTTATGGACGAAGCGGGACAGGATATAATTGGGTAGTTTATCATCGGCAGTTGAGAGAACTCTTCTGTCTTTATTGTTGTTGATTTCGTGCTACTGCGAGTCTGCATAGCAACACCGCCTCTGGAGTCTTGCTCTGTGTAATTTGCAGAGCACTCTCACACAAAGTCCCCTCTTTGATCCTCTTAACAGTCCTGTGCCATTTGAGGGCACACTTTTAACCCCAGGTTTTGGAGGAGCTAACTGAGCAGGATCACACCCCTAACTCACGCTGGGCAGCGGTTGGGATGTCAGTCTTCTGGCAACACCACATCCCGCAGCCTCCCTGTGGACAGCACTGCTGGGTCCTGGAGTCCCTCCCAGGGGCGTCAGCAAACAGTGAGAGGAGCATCCGCTTGAGGGGTAGGGGCTAGACTGACATCCCTCCAGAAAGGGAGGCACCTGTTACCCTTGCACAGGCCAGGCAGAAAGAGTGGGTTCTGGGTGAGTGCGCCCTGTGCAGCTCCCTCCTCTGCCCCTGGGGGTATGGGGACCCTGCTGGTGAGCTTGGAGTGAGGACCTCAGGCTCCTGTGAAACCCAGATTGCAGTGAGGCCTCACTGCAGGCAGCTTGCACTCACAGGGAAACAAGGAAGTGGTGGCTGGAGGGGCGCACCAACTCACAGAGCGTTCAGATCATGAAATCTGATCACGAGGAAAAATGTCCGATTTCTCTCTGTTTCCTCATCTGCGAAACGAGGATAGTAAGGGTTCCTCCCTCACATGGTCATTCTGAGCACTAAAAAAAAGTCAGTGCATGGAAAATGGTGGTGGCCTGGCACACATGGGGGAAGTGCTCAGGAAACAGCAGCTTGAGGGCTGTTTCCCTCTCCTCCTCCTCTTCCTCCCCTTCCTCCTCCCCCTCCTCCCCTCTCCTTCTTTTTATCCCCAGGATCATCACATGATGATTTATTCTCTCCTTTTCCAGCAAGCATTGTCACAAGCACCGACCTGGCTACTGTCGAAACGGGATGAGGCTCCTTCTTTCATTTGTTTTTCAGCTGTGGAGATGGATGGGTTCAGACCTCGTGAGCTGTGGGCACAGCAAAGGGTGCTTTGGTGATTGATTGCAAATATATACACACTGCTTCATTTTACTAACCTGCATCACTCACTAAAGCCAATAGCTTAAAGTATAACTCGCCCCCCTCTCCTGCCATGGTCTTCCCACAGTTTGTTGGGTGGCAGAAGGGGGAGCTTCCCTGAGGCATTTGGGGCAGGCTGCCTGCCCTGAGGACTCTGGGAAGTCTTGCCCAGGGGAGTGAAGCTCACCACAGCGGGGAGGGCTGCGGAGCTGCTTGGTCATCTATTCCCCGCCCCCCCCCCACCCATCTGCTCTAATAAATGTTGGTGTTAAACCTGCATTCCGTGGTGCTTCCTCTCTTTCCTCTCCAAGAAGAAAAGCTGAGATGCCACTCCCTGTGTATCTTTGTGAATCCAGCATCAGAAAGCTTACAGTTCTGTGAAGACATGGAAGAAAACCCAAACACCAAGCAAGTTTTCACGAGGGCCATCTCTTTTGGTAGAGAGATGACTTGCCCAAGGCCTGTTCTGGAAATAGAGCCATCACACAATGGCAGGTGCACAGGCTGGTCTTCTAGCTAAGGATACATTTTGGGGTGGAAAGGGGGTTGTGGCTTCTAAATCCCTCACCTGCCCACAGCTCCCAGAATCAGAGATGGCTCTGACAAAGAGCAACAAAATCAGAAATGGGGAGGGCAATGGAAAATGTTCTGAACGGTCCCAGGGAGAATCTGGCATCCTCAAAAAGAGGTAAGAAGAGATGCCCATGTACCCTGGGCTACAGGGGGAGGGCCTGTCCCTGTTCCCAAGGGAGCCAGGGCGGGCTTGTCTAGGGATAAGTTACAGAGGGTCTCAGGCCCTAACTCTGCATGAGGATTTTTCCATACACTACCTTGTTGAATCATCACACCTACTCTACACAGTAGATGCAGTTATTATCCCCACTTTAGAGATGAGAAAACTGAGGTTTACAGAATTTAGATGGTAATCATTTTTAGTCTTAGGTATAACAAAAAACTTTGTGGCTTAATACAACGTGAATTTATCACTTTATGCAGGGGCTGCATTGTTCTCTGCAGGCTCTAAGGGTGAATCTGTTTCCTCACCTTTTCCAGATTCTAGAGGCCACCTACGTTCTCATCTCCTGTCCCCCTCCTCCATCTTCAAAGCCAGCAGTGACAGGCTGGGACTTTCTCACACCACATCATTCTGTCTCTTCTGCCTCTCTCTTCCACTGTTAAGGACCTTTGTGATGACTTTGAGCCCATTCAGATAAACCAGCTGGTCTCTCTATCTTCAGGTTAGCTGATTAGCAACTTTAATCCCATCTGTGACCTTGTCTCCTCACTGTCGTGAGAGGTAATACATTTACAGGGTCCAGGGATTAGGATGTGAATAATGTGGGGGGTTGGTGGGTGGGCATTATGCTGCCTCCTACAGACAGTTTGTTCAAGTTCACATGACTGGTAGGAGAGCAGCAGCTGGGATTTGAAGCTAGGAAACCCCTCACCGCTCTGGGCCCCCCAAACACTGCATCTGTGCCCTAAACCTAAAATCCTTCTGCCTTGGATTAAGTGGTTTTCTCAGCTGAGCTCCCTGAGGGCTCAGGAGGTGTCCTTACCAGGACAGCATTGCACCCCTCACCTGAGAGGTGATTGCGAGTAGGAGAGGAGCTGGGGGAGAGATAGAATCCTAGGCAGGCTCCACGTTGTCAGTGCAGAGTCAGACTTGGGGCTCAATCTCACGAGCCACAAGATCATGACCTGAACCAAAATCAAGAGTCAGACACTTTTAACCAACTGAGCCACCCAGGCACGCCCAGAGTTTTCTTAAAATTACATTTTCTAGTTGGTTATTCTGCTGTGTATAGGAATAAAATTGATTTTTAAATATTGATTATATCTAGCCACCTCTCTCTGATATCTCTTACTAATTCTTACAGTTTGGGGTTTTGAGATAATTACTATTTATGACTTTTGCTTCTAAGTTTAGAATAAACTGAGAAGCAGATGTAGGAGTCAGAATAAAAATGATACCCTTTATTACCAATAAGGGTCTTTGGAAAATATGGATTAGATCTATAGCTACAATAGGCTCTTTAATACTCCATTCCAGAATTAAATGTGCCCTGTGACAGACAGAGTTGGAAAACTACAGGCATCTTCTACGGGCCCTGCCCTTGGAAAAATTCTGGAATGGAAGAACAGAGAATGAGTGCTTCCTAGGGGCAGGCTTACTCCCTAAGACCATGGAGAGGAAGGTACTGAGGTATGCAGATCTAGGTCCTTCTCCAAACCCAGTAACTTACTCTTTTGGGGTGAATGAGAGAGCAAAGGGAGGACAGTGGTGTTATTTTAATGCAGTTACCACCATGAAGAAACATGAAATAAATGTCTCTCACATATTATAGATTTCATTGCATTTACTATATGGAAAGTCATATTGTCTGTGATAGTACTGTTTTTTCTTGTGCCATCCTTATACTTCTTGTTAGTTTTTCGTGTCTTATTGCTATAGCTAGGACTTCTAGAACAGTGTTGAATAAATAAAAAATTTTTTTAAATGTTTTTATTTATTTTTGAGAGAGAGAGAGTGAGACATTGCATGAGTGGGGGAGGATCAAGGAGAAGGGGAGACACAGAACCTGAAGTAGGCTCCCGGCTTTGAGCTGTCAGCATAGAGCCTGACACGGGGCTCGAATCCACAAACTGTGAGATCATGAGCTGAGCTGAAGTTGGGTGCTTAACCGACTGAACCACTCAGGTGCCCCTAAAGTTTTTTTTTTTTAATATTTATTTTTGAGAGGGAGAGACAGAGCATGAGCTGGGGGGCGTGGGGGTGGGGTGGGGCAGAAAGAGATGGAGATAGAATCTGAAGCAGGCTCCAGGCTTTGAGTTGTCAGCACAGAGCCCGATGTGGGGCTTGAACTCACAAACTGTGATCATGACCTGAGCTGAAGTTAGATGCTTAACCGACTGAGCCACCCAGGCACCCCAAGAACAGTGTTGAATAGATGTCATAGTAGTGTGTCTTCTTGCCTCATTCCTGTCTGTCTTTCTTTCTTCCTTTTCCCTTCCCCCCTCTTTCTTTCTTCCTTTCTTCCTTCCTTCCTTTCTCTTTCTTTCTTTCTTTCTTTCTTTCTTTCTTTCTTTCTTTCTTTCTTTCTTTCTTTCTTTCTTTCTCATTCCTTTCTTTAAAGGGAATAAATATGATTGCTGTATTCTTTTGGTAGAAGGCTGTTATAAGATTAGGGTAGTTCTCTTTTGTTCCTAGTTTGAAAAAAATGATAAATGGGTATTTGATTTTTCAAATGCTCTTTTGCATTAATTGAAATGACAATATTGTTTGGAATAGCATTAATGTGATGATAGATTTCCCTAATGTTAAACTATCCTTAAGTTCCTGAGCTAGTATGGCTTGTCAGGGAAGTCTTCTTAGAGGGGGTGCCCTCAATGATTGTGAAGGGATCACCTGGATAAAAAAAGATGGAGTGGGGATGAGAAGTAGGACAAGGTGAGGGTGCAGATGGGGAGTGTTGTTGCAGGCAGGGGCAGCAGCAAGTGCAAAGGTCCTGAGATGGGGAAGGAGCTGGTTTGTTTGAGGAGCTTCCACAAAGCCAGGGTGACCTCACCTCTGAAGAGAGAGGGAGAATGTCTGCCCCAAGGAGGTAGCCAGTAAATCTCATACAGCACAGTTAATGTTCTCCTCAAACTTGTAAACTCATCTATCTGATAGAAAACAAATCTCTGCTTCAGAGATTTTTCAACTGAGTAAAATGGACTACTCATTTTGTGTGTGGCTCAGTTTTCTGAAGCCTCCTGATGTTGTGGAAAGAACCCAAGACCAAGAGTTTGTAGGTCTGGGTTCTGATCTATTTTACTCATTTCTCCAGGTATGCTCTGACTGCCTCCTGTGCACCTCACACCGTTTTGGGCCCTGTGGACCAAGAGAGGAAAAAGACAGAAGGGCGCCTGGGTGGCTTAGTTGGTTAAGCATCTGACTCTTGATTTCGGCTCAGGTCATGATCTTGGAGTTAGTGAGACGGAGGCCCATATCAGGCTCTCTGCTGACAGCAGAGCCTGCTTGACATTCTGCTTCCCTCCCTTTTTGCCCCTCCCCCCTTACACTCTCTCCTTCAGAATAAATCCATAAACTTAACAAAAAAGAGAAAGGCTGATTCTTGAAAAAAGTTATAAAATTCATATAACATCAAATCCACCATTTTAATCAATTTAAAGCATAAAATTTAGTGGTATTTAGTACGTTTACAATATTGTGCCACCATCACCACTGTCTAGTTCCAGAACATTTTATGATCCCAAAATGAGACCCTGTGCCCATGCAGCCATCACTTTTTATTTGTCTCTCTCTCCAGCCTCTGGCAACCAGAAGTCTGTTCTCTGGATTTTCCAATTTCATGTAAGTGGAATGATACAAGATATGGCTTTTGTGCCTCGCTTCGTTCACTCATCGTATATTTTGAAGAGTCATCCGTGCTGTAGCGTGTATCATTCTTTTATTTGGCTGAGTCATATTCATTGCATATATAGGTAGACTACATTTTGTTCATTCATTCATCAGTTGATGAACATTTAGGTTGCTTCCATATTTCAGCTATTGTCAAGTACCACTATGAATGTTCATGCACAAGGTCTGAATAGCTGTTTTCACTTCTTTCGGGTATACACCTATGAGTAGAATTGCAGGGTCATATGGTAATTCTTTCTTGAACTTTTGAGGAACCACCTAACTCTTCCATAGGGGCTGTGCCATTTTACATTCTCACCAACAATGCCCGAATGTTCTGCTTTCTCCACGTCCTTGCCAACACTTGTTATTTTTTTATTTGTATTTTTTTTATTATAGCCAGTGGAGAGGGTGTGAAGTGGTATCTGATTGTGGTTTTGATTTGCATAATGACTGATAATGTTGAGCATCTGTTCACGTGCCTATTGGCCATTTGTCGATCTTCTTTGGAGAACTGTTTAAGTCTTTTGCCCATTTAAAAACTGGGTTGTTGGGGTGCCTGGATGGCTCAGTTGGTCAGGCATCTGACTTTGGCTCAGGTCATGATCTCGTGGTTTGTGGGTTCGAGCCCCGTGTCAGGCTCTGTGCTGACAGCTCAGAGCCTGGAGCCTGCTTTGGATTCTGTATCTCCCTCTGTCTCTGTCCCTCTCCCGCTCACACTCTGTCTCTGTCTCTCTCAAAAATAAAATAAACATTCAAAACAAATAAAAAACTTGGTTGTTGAAGGGCTGATGTTTTTGATGTCCTAGAAGCAGAGCTTACTAAAGGGAGACTCTGGGACAAGTGTCCAAACCTCT